CCCTCTGCCCTCTGCCCTCTGCCCCGGGAACAACTTCATGAAGTCGCCCCATTATTGTTCCATCCTTTAAATACGTAATGAGATTATGGTTGAAATGTTTCTTTCGTGTAGATAGAATGAGGGATGGCCGGAATGCTCATCCTTACGGGCGAATACACATCGAGTTTGTGGCAATAAATCTACATGCAGAGATCCTCCAACTCTATGAGAAGTCGAGAACATAAGCAAAGAGTGCAAACCCACTCCTCTCCAAACCAGAAAACACAAGGACTTCAAGAAAATCTCATCAATCCGCGATACAATCAATATTTCATGCCATGATCTCGTACAATGTGAAACAAGAATAACGCAGATAAAGCGCCATCGGCCAGATGACCCAGCAAACAAACAGAGGGTATTATACGACAAATCCAACGGGAATAGAACCAACGCCATAGAGACAATATGAAGGTGACGGGTGACCGGGATGGAACACCGTCAAAGACAGCTTGCTGTAGAAAAGAGAATGGTAGATGCAACAACCAGTGCTACGAGGTCTAGGTCATGTCATGTCACGCGCTTCGGTTTGCTTTGAGAAAAAGCTTTTGATGCAAATGCAACGAGTCCGCTTGGAGGGGGTCCCATTTATCTCCGTTGATGACTCTCAATATCGTATCCAGGTGGCGGGGTTTGATATGTTTCTGGAAGAGGGATCGGAGGTTGTTCCTGGAGGGGAGCTTGATGGTAGGGTTGAGGGTGGGTGGCTGTTGTAGCGGTGGTGTTGTCCGGATACGGAGGGTTTCCGGGGGTGGGCGTATCGTGGTGATAAGGGTCGTGGGCCAGATGCTGAGATTGGACCAAGTACGGATTGTATGCATCCTCATAGGATGGGTCTGTGTGAGGAGCCGTGTGCGAGGGTTGCGGTTCCAGTATAGACGAGCCGCTCAATCGATTATGCGAGTAGAAGCGATTCGGATCACTGTCATCGTGCATGCCCGGGGCTAGTCCGCCTGGACTGGGCTGAGCATGAGACAAAAGCACCTCGCCTTCTTCGTCGCTGCCATATCGCCCTGCGCTCAATGCCGTTGGAGGCCCTTGGTATGCGGTTCCGTACGGTGGAGTGAGGTTCTCGGTCGCATTCAGTCCAAACGCCTCGGTCGGCGTGTGGTAGCTGGGATCCAGCGTCCGCTTCTTGCGTCCCACAAACAGCCAACGGAAACTGCGACCAACCGCCTTAGCAAGGTCGACAGGATTGAGCGCATCCAAAAGGCCTTTGAGGCCAAAGCGACCTCCCTGATAGCTGGCCTTTCCATTACCATAAAAGTCGGTGACATCGGAATTTTGCGCAAGAAGCGAGTACGGTTGCCATGCGAAGGCCCACAGATGAAGGACCGAGAACATAGCCATTTCGATACAGATGAGAATGTTCGGTAGTCCGACCTTCAGATCCGGTGACTGGATTGTCTTACTCGCTTTGATGACACCCGCGGAAGAAAGGAACGAGATCAATGTCTGCAGGTACAATTAGACCAGTTGCCACGACAGTAGATTACGGAATGAGCCCACTTACCGACTGCCAGAAAGACAAGAAGATCACGAGTTTGATGGAAAGAATCTTCAAGAAGGGAGCGTGTTGGCTGATGTCGTCTTTGAGCTGAATGTAGAACTGAATCAGGCAGTACATGGCGATCGAGACAGCGATACACTCTATGATCATAGTCTATCCAGGCAAGAAGGTCAGTCGAGGCACGCCAGCCATCGGGCGCAAGAGCACATACCCAAATGTGCGAGAACGCAGGATTGAGCGATTCTTCGCAGTAAACGTTGTAGTGTTGCGTGATGACGGCGATAACGGTCATAAGGACCCGGAGGACACAGTATTGGAAAACGCCCACCCAAATGACCTGTGGTCCCTTCGTCAGCTCGTGACCGACGCGATTGAGACATCGAATTAACTCACATTGAACCAAGTCAAACCACTGCGAGGGGTTCTCCACACGCCTTTCTCACCGCCGGAGATCTTTTGCAGCCATGGGATAGGCCAGACCCAGGGCTTGGGCACCACGCCGCGGAAATACTCTTTTTGACTATGCAGGTCGGGTGCGACGTAGGCGCAGAGCAGGGAGAAGAAAGCGGAGATGGCGAAAGCTTCGTAGCAATTTCCAATCAAATCGTAGTACACATCGTTCTTGTAGAAGTACGTTCCGACCCACGCGACGACCGAATAAATAGGTATCATCAATAGGATTCGTATTTGACTGCGAGATGTAACATGATAGCATTAGCTCTGTGCGACTCTGGCTCGACGCGACGATAAGGCGGGAACGTACTGTCGTTGCTCGATCGGCTTGCTGTAATGCGTAGCATGCATCATAATAAGATAGAAGGAAACAATCATGGAAATCAGACCAAACACCCCGCCGACCATGAGGCACAGCTGGTGAAAGGTGATCCCGCCTTCCCAGAGGTCGACCTCCGTGACTATGCGAGTGAAAATGAAGAATCCGCGTCAGCTCAACTCAACAAACAACCATAGCGTCGCAAATTGTAGCGAAGAGCGGGCAAAGGACGAAAAGGGACATACTGGTCTCATCCTCGGCGGTGGAATTACACACCGGCCAGCCCATTCTTGGGAGTGGGAGTGGAAAATGAACAGCTGAACAGTGAGAGGCCTCAGAATGCGCGGGAGGTTATAGGGGAAACGAAAATAATAGAGGTCTTCAGGATGTTGTGGAAGAAGGGGGAGTAAAATTGTCGCAAATTGAATGGAGAGCGAGAAACACGGTCGACTTTCTATCTTATCCGCCCAGCCCGGCTTGGCCCAAGAATGAGCGATTGAACCCCTGGGAGAGCCGCCCGAGATTAGACTTCCGTCCACACTTTTGTCGCCGGTGGAACTGCAAGGATAGTAATCGTGGGTCGAGCGGACAGAAAGTAATGGGGTGTATGTCTGCCACGCTGGAACAGGCGCCGAGAAAGCGTGAGCTGCGTGTCGTGTTGCTTGGTGTTGCTTGGCAGGAACAGCGTCTAATAAGTGAACAGAAGAGGGGGGGAAGAGCAGAAGTGAAGGCGAGGGAGCGAGGAAGAGAGGCTGGGGATCAACAGTGATCGGCCAGAGGGGGAAAAGAAATGAATGAGGGTGTGCACAAAGCCAATACTCTTGGGGAACAATGAAGATGATGGGTGCTGGTTGTGGTACATCGGGCTGTTGATCCAAATGCACTGTAACTACTGTATATTGCGTAGTTGGAAAGAAGTACAGTACTTTGTAGGTTAGTTCCTGTATTTAGTCTCGGTAGTTCAGTCGGAGTAGAGTATAGTATAGTATAGGTATGGGTATAGCATAAAACCAAGGGAGGAGGAGCAGATGAAACGAAACACAGGTGAAGTGAGTGCACTTACTCACTCACTTCATTTCAATTTGCATTGGAATGAATGCTTTGTGAGTGCTGGGATGACGAACCACAGGCACCAAAGTTAACTGACGGAAGTCTGGAGGAGGCAATCTCAAGTGAGTAACCATACCAATACACGTCATCTTCATTGTTCCCCGCCATAAAGACGGTAAATTAGCTCAACTTACATCACAGCTGGTATGTACCGAATCCACTGGCCACGGGCTGCGCCACTTTCCCGAAATAGCCGGAACTGCCTTCAATTCCACTCTTGCGACTCCGTACTCCGTACTCTTTTGTCAGTTTCTCGCTCATTTCCCCCTTTGTCTATTGGAGAATGAAAAAGATTTAAACACATTTCTAACGGATCACCACAGCCCCGTTCATCATTATCTTTTTCTTGCTATCAATTACTCTTTTCCGCAGTTAAACTGGCAGCCAAGCAGAATTGTCCATTGCATTGTCTAGTGGGGGACTCCACAGTTGTGCAGTCATCGCCTAATTTACATTCATGCTTGCCCCCCCTCCCCTTGCCCCTCGCAATGTCCCTTAACTACTACTGTACACGTGACGGATGACTACATCCGTACAATCACTAGAACAATAATGAGGAACCGGATTGTCGGAACTTGAAAAATCGTTACCATCGACTGCGACGGTCGTCTCGCCACGAATCACCCATTCCTCCCCGTCCTCGGCCGCCACGGCCGCCGCGTCGGCCCCGTCCACCACCTAGGTACTCCGGCCCCTTGTCAACAAATAGGTCACCGTCTTCGAAAGTGATACGACGGGTCTCATCTCCTCCCCGTCGGGGGAATGCGCCTTTTCGTAGCAGGTCGTCGAATCGATCGAGACGCCGGTCGGCCACCTCCCGGGTAACTGGCAGATAGTAGAGCTTAGGCTTGGTGGTGGTGGACATGAACAGCTCGTCCAATGGCTTGAACCCTTGGCCCGGGTGAGAATCTGACCGTGCGACACCAGGGCTACTGGGACGTCGAGTCGGACCACGACCCTCTGCACGGGGACCGGTGGGCGGTGGACGAGAGAAGCCAGCGAGATCAGGTGCACGCGCAGCTTGGGCGGCCGGTTTGCGGGAATCGACTTCTTCTAAAACAGCCTCGACACCGTCGTCTGTACGGTCGTATCTCACTTCCCATCGGGGTGCGGGCCCGCCACGCTGCCGGGTCCCCTCCTCTCGTTCAATCCATGACTTTAGCTTGTCTTCGGGAATAAAGTCGACAAATAACGCTTTTCGGTTGCGTTCGTTAGGCCATACGGTCCCGTGGAGGGCCGTTCGGACACGCGACGCGGCAGAGACACTTGTAAAGCTCACAAAGCAGTGTGTCTTGATGGGGTCCAGGTAGTAATCGAGGATCACATCAGCATTCGGGGAAGCATCAGGTGCCGACGCAAGAGTAACCAGATGACTTCGCAGGGCCGCCGGCTGCATCGGCCGCATCAGGCCTCCAACGTAGAGCGCAGCAGTGGCAGCATGTAGGGCAGGTTCAACTTCTGCCTCGTCCACAGCAACGTCAGGGGGAGGAGACGGCGGACGGGCTTGGTCGGCTCCCGGGCCCGCGAAGAGACCTTTGAAACGAACATCGTGTTTTGGCGGGGCATCTTTCTTGGCTGCGAGGGTTGTATCGTCAGCGGCCGGGGCAGATTCCGTTTCCCGACCTGGCGCCGCCGTCTCAGGCTCAGCACGTGCCTCAGGGGGTTCGCGCGAATGTGCTGCCCCTTCTTCTCCCGGTTGATCCACCTCGATCATAGATGATCCTTGATCTTCAGGCAGAAGCACGCGAGGCTCTTCCTCTTGCGCCTTCGCCTTTTTGATGGCCAGGGCTTCCGGTGTGGGCACAGGACTCTGGCTACGTCGCTTGCGCTTGCGTCGATCCTCCAACAGCTCCTCTGTGGGAAGAGGAGTTGACAATGCTGTGTTCAATTCCGAAGGGATACTCGTAGGCGGCGCGGTCTCCTTGAGCTCTGCATCTTGCTGCGGGATGGCTGTAGGTTCCTGCGCGGATTCGTTTCCGGGAGCCTGCTCAACCGGGGCGGCAGGTGGCTCAGCCGTCGTTTCCTGCACTGCTGAGGTGTCAGTCTCGACCACCGTCTCTTCCAGCTCCTGCGCTTTTGTGCTTGGTTCCTCCTCCTCTTTCGGCTGTTCTGGCGACTCCTCCGCGACCTGATCGCCACGGGCAGCAGTCTCCTCTACTACACTCTCCGGTTGAGGCACCGCAGCCTCTGCCTGCTCCGGCGTTGGTTCCAGTGGCTGTGTTGAAACCTCGGTCTCCATCTGCTTCACGGTCTCTTCCGGGACCGGCTCCGCGTGTGTGGCCGAATCGGCCTGCGGCTCAACTGGTTGCGCAGGTTGTACCTCCTGCTGTACCTCCTCCGTCTCCGGTGTAGGCTCGCTCACTTCATCTTCCTCCTGCTGCTGCTGCGCATTATCGCGATCGGAGCCCGGTTCCGCGGTCGCATCCTGTCCTGCAGCTTCGCGAGCATCCTCTTCCTCCAATCGGTCGATGATTTGTTGCTTGACGCGAAGACCGGTCTGCGCGATGCCGCGCCGCTTCAACTCCGCTTTCAGGTCGGTGACCTTCAATTTCGAGTAATCGGTCATATTGTTGGGGTACTAGTAAAGTACTAGGATCGGTCCGCGAGATGGCGGGGATTTAGTTGCATATAGAGGTCGCCTTGCGAGGGGCTGGTGTCCGATGATTGATTGTGATTCAGACGGGGCTGGTCATGGCTGTATAAATGGGGGTATATTTTGGTGGTTCGTTTGGATGCGCTGCTGCCCCTGCGGTAGAGTGAATAGTCATTCGGACAGTTCCTTTGTAGGTGCAGTGGACGGTCGGTCGGGGCTGAGCTTGACTGGCGGAGGGTAGATGATGTCGTGCGCTAAGCCGGTTTGGGGCAAGGGGTACTGCCGCATGAGGTTTAGTGTGGTTTTAAGTCGAATTGGCTTAGCCTTTTCTCGATTAGGATGTTTTGGTGTGAGCCGAAGAAAGTAGAAACCAAGCATCACCTGGCAGCAAAGACGAATTGCCAAGCTCTGATAGAAGTCGACTTGATCAAGGCTACTAAACAGGCTGCGGGAATTCCATAATGACTCTGTTATGCATATAAGACTCTATACTCGAGATCAACTGTCTCATATTGCATTGGTACCCCGAAGCTATACCTGTTGTTGCCTGTCATCATCCTGTAAATATACTTGCCCTCAAGCTGTACGAACCTGCTTGAGATTGTACAATACCCGGGTCCTATTTCTCTTTTCTCCCAGTACCCAGCAGTACAGATTGAGAGTAGATACTCCAAATCCAAGAAACCAGTCTTGCATCCTAGGCATACCAACAGGAACTAAGAATCTTTACACTGAAAATAGTGTAAGTACAACTTGCGAAGGCACGCCCTCCCACTCAGGCTCAAGACCAGCATGTCCAGCCCCCATAACATGTACTACTCGCATCTGACGCACTTCATGAGCTCGAGGCCAGACTCCATGGTATCGTCATGAGAAAGAATACCAGAAGAGACTCAGTCTGCAAGTTCTTTTTCAACGCTCTCCAATATCGCGTAACAGGCTAGAATTGTCCGTCGACTTGACAGCAAGGGCCATCCGGTAGAAATACACATCTCCACATGCAAGTATACACACTGCGGAAGGAAATGGAGGCGTTCAAAGGGTAGGTCCCTGGTTTCGCTGATAAGGTACTATACGACGGAGTAGATCCAACAGACACACCTACGTTTCTAACGCCCCATGAACAGGAACAATAATGAGCTTAGGCCCCAAAGCTTGATATCGGGTTGGTTGCCACAGATCGGGTTCCGACCCGATGACGTATGCGACTTGCGACTCAGATAAAGTCGAACCACTGCCATATTTCCATTTCCGGTGTTCGGATTGGCCCGGGGTTTGTTTACGCACAGACCTGGGCCTGATATGCCTCAGCTTCTTTGGGGGTTTCTTAGGGAAGGTCACGATATCCACACGAGTTGATGTCATCGTTCGTCGATACGAAGTCAAGCGTATCATGCTACTCCGTATAGTTAGACATATAAGACTGGCATGATGGCTTCGCTTGTAAGAGGATCGAGTAACATACCAAGATCATATACTACACACTATATTCTACCCCGTCCCCCCCCCCCCCCCCCAAAACAACAATGCCATCC